TCTCGCTCCCGTGGAGGCTCGGGCGGCTTTGTTTCACTGACATTCCCATACCCAATTATGCTAATGCTTGACGGTGGCATGGGACGGTAGATCTGCTTGGTCAACAATTTTTCCCATTTTTCCCAGTTTGGTTCCACTTCAATCTTTCCCGAACGTCTGTGAACAAAGGCCATGCGTCGGTACGGTGCGGCTCCAACGTCCTTTTCCTTGGCAAGTGGCTGATGTCTACTGACCCCTCTCCCCACCATGACGTATTTTAGTTGGGCATCATTCCAAGCACTTTGCACGGCATCAAACAAGGCTCCTTGCTCAATCACTTGTCTTTCCCTTGGAGGTGCACTCTTCCGGGCCAACTCAAAAATCGGCTCCCAAATTTCCTTCGGGTCTGCCTGAATTCTGGGTCGTTTGCTGGACTCTGGCGTCTCTGGCTCGGGATATTCCCGGGGACGACGGATCTTGAAGCGGATCCTACGCTTCTTCAGGATTCTGACGGCTTCACTTACTGCCGTGCCCGTCCCCGGTTCGGATTGGCGCTTGTTGGCCGGACGCTCGGACTGCACGGGAAATGCTTCTGCCACAGTGACCGATGATGGCAATGCTGACTGAATCAACAACTTCGCTATTTGACGGGCAAACTTCCGTGGATACTGTTCAGTGAAAGTGGACCGATTCATCCTGCCAGTCTCTGTGACCACACTTCCTTGGACTTGCTGATGTGTGTGGTCTCGGCTACAGAACCGATTCGAAAGCATCTGCCACATGCGATCGTCTGTGGTCAGGACGTTCATTCGCTTTCGAATTGGCATTCCGGATTCCGGATCACAAAGCTGGCCGGCACGACACATGTCAAAACGGCAGGACTTCGTGTTCTGGTGCACCGGTTTCATCTCAGGGCAATCAAACATCTTGGATCCCTCTGGTTGCTCCCAATGCAAATGTCCACCCATCTGAACCTGATGCTCTGCCAGCAAGATTCCTAGGGCAATTTGCCAGCACGCATCTGCACGATTCTGGCACACTTGCTCCCAGGCTTCTAGCGACCGGCTGGCATTGAACTGTGACCATTTGCACCAGGCCTTGCACACCGGACTGAACCACACATGCTTCGGCTTCCGTTGCACCAGGTGTTGAAACAATGTGCGACGCCCGGCGATGGTGCTCAGATCAGCACTCCCTTGATGCATGCGAATTGCCCGGCCTCCCAATTGATTGACCTGGTGAGTGATCTGGCTTTGGTGGCTACAAAACACTTCAAGCACGTCAATCTGGTACTTAATGGGCGACCCCTTAACACTCTGACGGGTTTCCTCTAATTCCTTGTTGAATTGATTTACCCAGGTCCGAATCTTTCCTGCCGGAGTGAGAGACCTGTCGACTGGCATGCTGTGCAAACATTCCTGGGGAACCGTATGAAGCGCATCATGCCACTGTTGATCACTGACGGTTTGCATATGCTGTCTGAAATTCTCCGGTGGCATGTGGCTCGCTTGCACACTCGCTGATGCGCTCACATGTCCGTCTCGGTGCTCTTCAGCCGATCCCGCTGATGCAGGTGTTGGATCACCTCCTGCAAGGCCTTCTCGATGTTGCACATCCGGCTCTGCAGGGCCTGCACATCCGAGTCGGTCTGGCTTCCCTGAGACTGGTCCTGTTGCGGTATCTGCCACTGGTCCTCGTCCTCCTCCCACTTGGTGATCTGATCCTTGGGACTCTGTTTCAATGCCACCGCCATTCTCTTCAGCTGACTGGGCTGTTCCTCCATCTCCAACGTCCTCAGATGCACATACTGGATGAACGTCTGGTGCTCCCGCTTGCTGGATCCCTCGTAGTGGCTCACAAACCAACTGGTCCACTTCAGGTCGCTGAATGCCTTGGCAAACGACTGTCCCTTCTTGGCCGCTCCAAATGCGATCTTCTCGTGCTCCAGTTCGTCCCTCGTGAGAGTCTCGACGGGTGGTTGGGTCTCTTCCTGGATCATCTTCTGAAGGTTCTTGAGGCGGTCGGCCAGTGCTAGCGACATTGGTGTCTCTCGGAAGTTTCACTTCGTGGTCGGTGACACCCGGCACACTGGCTTGAGCACACTGACCATTCAGATTCGCATTCTCACTTGGCAACTCACCTCTACATTTGCTCAAGGGGCTCACGGTCTGGACAGGCTCAATCTGGATTGCACTCACTCTGACTTTCAGCTCACACGGAGCGGGCGGTGCAGCATCTATTGTGCTAAGGCTGATAAGGGCCGTGTCACTCAGGTCATCTGGCAATATGTCATTGAAATCAAGCAGAAACAGATTTCGGCTGGACAAATGCACGGTCACTGTTTTCTGAAGTTTCTGGAATGTGATTTCTTGCCGACCTGTGTCTATGACAGCTCCCAGTGAACACAGCAATGCATTCGAAATGAGGAATGGTGTGCCGCCTTCTACAACAGCAATTTTCACACACAGCCCCTGCTTGTTGATTGGTACCATGAGTGCGGTGTGGCTCGTGAGGGTGCTTTGATTCCCAAAACGAAACACCATGCGGCAAGCACACTTTCGGACACGCTGGCGTACCAACTTCGGCAACCTGCCGACTTCCCATGACGCTCTGTGATGCTCCGAGGTCCACAACACCTTTGGTTCCATGTGACGCAAACAACGTTTCCATCACTTCAGTGTTGGAGGCGTGTTGGGAAATGGCTGGAATCATCGGTGGCTCCTGATTTTCACTTCTTCGGCGGATCACTTCTCTAAGGTTCCTGCGTGCGGGCCAGGAAACTGTGGTGTGACATGCTGTGAAAACCTCATGGACCTCATTTGAACACACGTCTGACATGGATGAGTCCTGAAAGCTCAGGGCGATCTCTGGAATCTGCATGAGGGCTTCCGACGTGTTGTGCGGGGGTTCACTTCCGGATGCGGCAAATGACACTGGATACTGACCACTGGAGGCTGACTGCTGTCCCTTGTTCGGGCACTCTTGTTTCCAGTGACCACGCTGCCCACACAACCTGCAGTTGGACTCCATGATGCGCTGTGACAAGGTCTTCTTTCCTTGCCCCTTGCCGGAAGTCCATTTGCCTTTGGACTTGCCCTTGCCTTTGCGAGGAGCCCAAAAACCACGATACTTGGCCTTGTCCCCCAAACGTCTGCGGGCATCCTGATATGTGGAAAACAGTGCGGCGAGTTCGGTATCATTTTGCAAGGTCTCGGTGGCCGCATCCTCAAACTGAGCCACCAGAATTGCATCTTCATCTCCTTCACACCGCAACTGCTCCTGAATGTCTTCTTCTGTGAGACCCTCCATCTGAAAGGCATCTGCCTCTTCCCCTTCATCTTCTCCGGCGTCTTCTAGATGAAGTGTGGCCTGATCATAGGTCTTGTTGCGACTCTTCTTGATGCCCGTGTAGTCCTGAAAGAAACTTGTGCCCAACATCCGGACTGCCGCATTCACCTTCGGCATGGTAAGGACTTTTCCGGCCTCTGCTCCACTCTCCACGAGAACGCGTTTCTTGTCCTCGGGTGCGAGTAGAGAATTCCTCAAAACAACATAGGCTTGGAGCTCCTTGATGTCGAGCCCTTTCTGTAACATCTCCAACCATGCCACATCTGCTCTGGCCAGGTAGGAGTCGTTTGTCTCATCTCCCTTCTGAGTGATGTTGAATAAGGCTCGCTCGGCGGCTTCAAACTTCTTCTCCAATGGAACTTGACCCCAAGTGCCTCCCAGGATGGAAATTATCTTCTTCACCGCCTCCATGTCGCCCGTCTTGAGCTCCGCCTGTTGTAACTGAAGCTTCTGAAAGGCTGATCCACTGCAACCCAAGATCAACCTGGTGATGAGCTCCGGGTACTTGTCCTTCGGCCAGACATTGGCCACCAACTCCACCTTCTGCGACCATGTCTCCAAATTGTCTCCACGGCTCGGGTCGAAATTCGGCACGAGCTGCGATATCTGCGTGGGAACCCCTGCGAATCCCCCTCCTGCTTCCCCCTGCGCCATTGCAACCAGCGAAAGCTGTCCTCAAAACTGCAATCACCCAACTGCAAAAGCCACTGCACCTGGTCTCTCGTTCAGACCTCCGGTTTCTCTCCACCTCCCTGGCCTATCGTCCAGGCCGCCGGCAGCGTCTCCCTGAGACTGAAGCTGCTCCGCTACCAATGTAAATCCCCAGGCGACCTCGCCTACCGAGAGCTCCTCCGCGACCTTTTCCCCGTGGCGCCACGCCCTCTAAGGTCTTTCCCCTAAACCTGAGCCCCTGGGCAAACGGATTCACATCGGCTGCGATCTGCTGATGAACATCTCCAAGCGAAGGCACACGATTGACAGGTTAGTGGAAAGCAAAGGGAACCCAAAAAAGTAAAAAGGGGAGCTAATTCTGGGGAAGAACAAAGGTAAACACACTGGCTGCTTGCCTCTCTGACATGGTCCCGAGCCAAGGAGTGACTCTCTGAAACGAAACTGAGGGAGTCAGTCCATGCCCATCAACCCCTTCAGGTTTGTCCGGCCATAGAGCCTCAAAGATTGAAACTGAAAAGACACGATGAGCGCCCACAGACCATGGACGTTTTGGCTCCAAGTACGGGCCTTACTAGAACCCCCACCCCCCAAAAGCAAGCAGTATATAAACAAATAAACGAAAACAACTGACCTAAACAGCCCAAAGGAGTCGTCTTGTGGAGCGCTGTCCGTACCCGGAGGCTCCTTGTGGACAATGGTTGTCTGCATTTGCCTCAAATCACCACTGAACATCTTCAAACGTGGGTATAAACATCACATACATGCTAGGCTGGAAAAAATCGGACCACTTCAACAAAATGAATAGCTTTTTTGCCTGGTGGGTGGAAAACCAAGGGGACTAACCAAAACAGCAAAACACCAAGAGGAACCCATCCTGGGGAAGTATGGAGCCTCAGTGGGTCTTGAAGCCACACGACATTGGCCGGAGATCTCGACCGGAACCGGTCGGAACTGGAAGCAAAGTCACGACTTGATGGTGGTGGGCAGCTTTTCAAGGTAAACACACATCACCTCACCTCACTGGAAAACCGCTGAAGCCCACACGCTGGAGCCACAAAGCGGCTCCTCCAACGCGCGCGTTTCCGCCCCATGAGAGCGCACGAAACCGGCAATGCTGAAGATGTCCTTTGACTCTCACAGGCTCTGCTCCTGTAGCCCTGGCGATGGCGTGTCTCAAGGTTCCAAAAATGTCCGGTCACCTCCAAACGGCAATCTTCCATTTGTATATGGGTCAGTGTCCAGGGTTCCCAGCCCCCCCCCCATGGTATGGTCCCCCCAGGCCCCCCCCCCCTCCCGGCCTGCCCTCTCCCCCGCCCTCATTTCTCGCTTTGGGCCAGCGTGGCTTTGTACTGCAATCCTGTCAACAACCACCACCCCCTGCCCGTCAACCATCCCTACCCTAAAAGTCATACACCATCCCCAATCCAGCTTGACTTGAACCGCAGGACAACCTTAAGCTAGCCCTAAATCTAACTGGCCTGAAGCTAATTAATTAACTCAGAAAACACCTACATGCTCAACCCAGCAAAGCCCCAAAGGATGCCTAAACCCACTGGAAATGAGCCCCCGGCTAGCCTAAGAAAAACTAATAATCAGTTTAAATAACCCTAAGCAATGTCCTAAAATCCTGAGCTGCAAGCCCGAAACTCAAAGGTAAGCTTGAGATACCCCAAAGGATCCTTAAATCCAAACTGAATCATCCCAAACCAACAGCAGTCAACCCTCAACGAAGCCTGACTTGCCCTCCAAACCAACACCCCACACCACAGAGGGGGAGGGGGGGAACCATAACCACAGGGGGGAAGGGGGGAACCATAACCACAAGGGGGCGGGGGCACCACACCCACAGGGGGGGTGGGGGTACCATGACCATTGGGTTGGGGGGGGGGCCACGAGCCCTGACCCATTATATATATATATATATATATGTATATGTTAGTTTCCCCTGTGGGTTTTACAGGGAACGTATCAACAAGACATGTTGCCACCAGAATCTTTTAGGACACCACCCAAGCTGATACCCTGATAAATTGCCTATTCACCGTTGCTCCCTCATGTAACACTACATAGGTAAAGAAACATGCAACCAGCTAAGTCTTGGGAAGCTCACGTGAGGTGGAGAGATGGCCTTACCTGAGCAAGTTGTACAGACTTCCAGTGACTTGTGACTCAGACGGGTGTCTCAAGATGACAGGCCTCCGAAACGTCCTAAGCTCACTTCTGAGGTGGCAAATCATGGTCTGACATAGTCCGAACTTCTCACCACCCTGAGGGACTCGGGGAAGCTGTGGGCAAGGCTAGCCGCGCTGCCGCGCACTTCGGTGGGTTAGTTATAGGTTGGTTTCGAGGAGAAAGCAAAGGGAAACCGAAGCCAATTTGTTGGGGTCCGCCGAATTTGACAGGCTACGAATCTAGGGTTGCCCTATTTAAGAGGGAATCGGACCAGTGTTGGAGGAACACACCCCTACCAAGTCACCAGGGGTTTGTTCACCAATTGCGTTCCCACTACTCCCATGGAATTGGATGTGTCTCAAAATAGGGACCCCTCAAAAGCGTGCGGTCTCGTGGTGTCCGACATCGCTTCGAGTCTCGGGGACCATGTTCGTCCTCCACAAGTCCAGGTGAGCTGGTGGGACACAGTTTATGGGCGAGCTCATGACGTCTTCCATGGCAAAAATGTCGCTACTTCGGAGTCGCCGTTGCTTTTTTCTCCCAGCAAGGGCAGGAAGACATAAAGAACCCCGGCTTTTGTGTGGAAGCCGGCAAGTGCCGCATGCGCCTCACAAACGCATAGTGGGCTTCGCACACTATGGGGTTAACTCCCGGAATCGGAATGCCTGTGTGTAGTCGGTGCCGGATCTGCGAACGCAGCAGATGCCACCCAAATGCCTGAATAGGTAGAATCCACAAACACAACTCTAAAAACGACACCTTGAAAACCAGCCAAACATCACTAATCGTTTCCTCAAAAAAGTGCAGGGTGCTGAGATGGACCCAATTGATGTTGCAAGGGGGGCCCCCAACCCTGCCTTTGGTTCTCGCCTTAACCACAAATCAGCTACCCTTGAGGATTCGAACCCCTGGTTCCTGCAGAGGGTTTGCATGGAAACCACCAATCCAAACCAAACCTCCGGGCTCCAAACCGCCACCAGCAGAGAGGTCGGAACAAGGGTACCTTCTTTTCTTCTGTAGTCTGTTTTCGTAGGGGAAACCCGCCCCAATAAAAAAGGTAAAAGGGTACTACTAAAAACCTAGAATTATAGGGAAGCTCAATCCAAACCAAACCTGCGGGCTCCAAACCACCAATCATAGGGAAGCTGAACGACAGGACCCCGCGCCTCAAAAAACGTCACACGCCCAGCCCCTTTCTTCGCGCGAGCGAGCCGTCGCCTTTGGGCGCTGGCAGGGACGTGGCATCCGGAGGCGACCACCTGGCAAGGCGACTCGATCGAATCAAACGCCACTGAGCCTCAAAAAACGCGGGGACCCCCGGTTTAGCGTCACATGGAAGTACCTGGAGTCTGCTTCCGACCCTTTAAACATGGGGTCATGACCCATTGATTTTGGGGAATGACCTTAGAATCACCGTTTTTAAAGGATCATTAAGACTCCAGATACGCGTTGCATAATTTGCAGGGGAGAATTGTGATTTGGCCTCTAAAGCTGAAACGGGTAGCCTCAACAAAAACATCCCGGTTGTTCTTTGTCCATGCTCCCTATTTGACACCCTCAAAACAGGTGGAGATAACTCCCATGGTAAAGCGATGTCCAAACAAGGGCTGCGGAGAAATGCTCATTGAGTAATCATAATGGCAAACGCCATTTGCCCGAGCATCCCGAGCATCCCCAAGTTTTCAGCAGGGTGGATTAAACAGGGCTTGTCCAACTTCAGGAGTAAAATGGTGAATTCCCATGGCTGCCTACTACATTAACATAGCCTACGGTGCTAACTGGAAGAAACGGATTGGCTGGCGAAGGGACGAAGGGACATCCATGCAGCAAGAGGACAAAAGGGCGGTACCCACTGGATAATGCGTCTTGTTTGGTTTTCTTCACCTGGGTGTCAAACAAAAATGGTACCAGTTGTCCGATTAGGCATAGAGCATGCCTGGCCGGTCCAGGAAAGGGTATCGAAGGCATCAGGGTGTTCAAGAAACCGGCTTCGCCTGGGTGCAGGAAGCGTTTCTTGCCGGTGCTGCTGGAGATGACCGCGAATCCTCGAAGGCCGTGTTGGCGCAGTCGGGTGTCGGAGAGTGGCCCCGATCTACAGCCGCAAGGACAGCTCTGTAGGGCCACCCCCCACGAGTGCAGTGCTGTAGGTGCTGGTGCTGCTGTGTTGAGGTGGCGCAGGTCGTTGCCATATTGAGGATCTCCGTACTTTTGCTCCTCCTCAGATGTCTACTGGAAGTTGGATTCGTCAGCATCGCTCCAAATAGGCCACTCCTGAATGACTGATCCCAGATTGGGAAAAGGGTTGGTGCTGGGCCGGTTGCTGAGGGTTGGAGGGTCTACAAATGCTTAAAGGGCCAGACACTTTTTGAATCATCCACATTTAAACAAAGGGACGAAACTGGAAAAGGGTCAGATAACTGAGTATTGCTTATGGGGTTGTGGGGAAGTTGCAAAACCAAATTATGATCAGACACCCTGGAATGACCCTTGTATGTACTTATGAAAAATGAGCTGAATGCTATCCGGGGCTGTGGCGCAATGGCAGCGTGCCCACGCTTTCCACGCATGGGAGGTTGCGGGCTCAAGTCCCGTCGGCCCTATGCCCCCTTTGGTCCCTTTCAACACACTAGAGCCACCGGGTGTCTTTTCTTTCTTTCTTTTTCTGGGTACCAGTCTTTCTTTTTTGGGCTTTAAGGGCAACCGAAAGGGGAAAACCACCATTGTGGACCACAGCTCACTTCCGCCAGCTTTGGCTTTCGATGCCCATCTTTCGAGGCACCCCGGCAGCTCATGCAAAATGGTTTGGTCTCCAACCATCTGCTCGATATCCGTGAAATCTTGAGCATTCCGCGATCCATCCAGCCAGCCAGAACCACCCCCACCCCACACCAACCTCCAACCCAAGGTGAACGTTTTCAAAGCAAACCAGCCCTTTTTGAGAGACCGAGAAACTTGAGTTTCGTGGCATTTGAACAACATGCCGCCATGACGCACGTAGCCATCTAGTAAAGGAACCTAACCGGAGGCTGGAAGATCCAACCGGACGCCAAGGCCCTTGGTGGAAGCCAGCGAACGGGGTTTAGGGGGGAAGAGGGCTATGCGCCACAGGGGATTCGCTTGATATCCGCAAAACATGTTGCAAAGCGAACCACCCCCAAAGTGCTTTCCTTGTTTTCACAAAACGGAAAAGGAGACCTGTTCAAATGACCTAGCCATTCTGGGCAAACCCATATAGCTTCCCACTCAGGCGATTCCTATGTATAGGACATGGATCATGGGTGCATCGCCTCTGTGACACGGGCTGCCAGTCGTCATCCTGGGACATAGCACCGGAAAAGGGAACCCTTCGTCGGGGGTGCGCGACGTGCGCGCTGCTCGTGACCCCACTAAACAAAAGGGGGACAAAAATGGCAAGTTGTCCAGGTGTCATGAGATTCATGTGAGATTCATGTTCCCTGGCTTTACAAATTGTGCTCTCTCATGAGTGGGCTAGAATCTAGCAATGGGTGGCCAAACAAGTACAGGAATCATTGATTTTTAGGAGAACCATTGAACACGTTGTGCTATGCAATGCTTCCTGGTTTCCCAAACTGCGTTGTTCATGGGTGGGTGAGACCTCTTTTAGGGTAACACCCAGAGTTTGCACGCGAATTCATAAAACTATTTTTCCATGCGCGGCAGGGGAGCTTCGTAAAGAAAGACACCCAAATGGGAGTGTTGGTAGTGATCATAGAGTACTCCTTGCCTTACATGACGTCCTAGAACAAAGCCCCAAAGTGCTACAAGCCCGTCCACACAACCCTGGCTATTTGAGCAGTTAATACTCAATGGGTGCCCCAATGACATTGGATTTTGGTGAGTAACCATCATTCCCAAGTGGCAATGTGTTGAGTATACAAAATGCCATTCCCCAGTAGATCAGTAGATGACAGAAAATAATGACCGTTGCTCATCTCAATCCTAAACAGTTCAACACGTCGGCCCCGTGCGTGCAAAATGAACAGGTTGCATTGTCCAATGTTCAAAAAGGTCTGTACAAAGCTCATGTATTGACTGGCTCCAAATGTGTGTCCGTCTTGAAATAGGGGACCAAACAAAAGGAAAGAAACCCAAAAGGATTGTTTCAAAGCCGGACTCGCTGCAGAAGTCCAGAAGTTTGAGGGTGATCAGGGTTGCTTCAAATTCCTTGGCGCAAAGGCCGACAAAGGGATACTACAAACCCAGTCACTTTTCTATGATCAAAGTCACCGGAGTAGCTGAAAAGGACACCTCCCGCTCTGACCTTGACAATTGCTGGGGTTTGATCATGAGGTTTCGAGAAGCCGTGAAGCAATCCGTGACCAAAATCGGACCTCCCGTTGCATTGGCTTCACCCAGGCGAGTGTTGCTGGAAAATTGAAAATTATCTCGACTGAACATCGAGTGGTCCCGCGCACGTGGTGCGAATGCAGCTGAACGGCTTTCTATTGGCCCTAGTTGTGCAGCTTACAGGGAGGTGAATAAGTGCCATCGAATCAAGGGGGGCTTCACACATGTGCAAGATGATTCTCATATCCAATCCGCGGCCAAAAACGTCGAAACCAAGCTTGCATCAAAACTGGCAAGGACAAATCCTTTTGGGATTTGGAAAAACCTCAAAGGTCGTCAAGGTGAACAACTCTTTACAAGAAGGATGAAATGACAAATCAAGCATGTGCCTCCCGGATCCAAGGGGGCTTCCGCGAGTCTCTGCAGACATCTTGTGCTTTGTTGCGCCCCTTGAATGTAGTGGTGCTCGGGTGGTCGAAAACGTTTGTAGGCACCGGATTTGAATCAACATGTTGATAAGGCCTTTGAGTGTCGACTGCAGGTTGGCCCGGTCAGGCACCTTCAGTAGGAGCTCCAACATCCTCGGTTGGCTGGGTGACAGGAAAAGCTCAGACTCCAATCGGCTCAAAGGACCTGGCAGTGATATCTTCTGGGATGATAGTCCGAGAATCCAATATGGGTGGGACACCCGAAATAGATTTCCTGTTGGTGTCCCTCTAAAACCAACCCGACATGCGTAGCTCAACGAAGCACGCATATATGAAGCACCCAACCAAGAAAACCAAAAGTAAGGTCAGTTTTGGGCAACTGAGTAGGAGGCCAATGGGTGTCAGAATCGAAGGGCATTGGAGACTCTGTCAAAACAATCTCTAACTGGGTTGATTGGTAACGTAATTAAAGACTTCAAGTGAACGCGGACGGGCCCAGTTTTGAGAATTGGCCAAATTGGAGGCTTCAGGCCTGCTATTCAAATGGAAGCCTCAAAGCCCTCCCATTGTTTGTAGGTCGGGGATATCCAACTGCCTCGTGTTTGCGGGAGACGCTGTGCCTTGAGGTTGCTAGGCTGTCTTTGCCTGGATGGCTTGGCACTTGCGAAGTCAAACCACACTCTTCCCAAAAGCTTCGACCAACCCAGGGGCTAATTCTCACTGGGGAAATCGGCGAGGTGTACACTCGAGACTTTCGAGGGGCCAGCCCGCAACGCTGGAGATGTTTGGGTTTGAAACCTTGGTCATTTGCAAAATTGGCGACGGGTGAGTCTCTGAGTTGCTGGAGGTTGTGACTCTAGAAGTCTTCTCGAGTGCCAATCCATACCTGACCCGAGTTGGCTTCCAATCCATCTCGATCCCAACTCCCCACTGTAAAGTAACAGTTGCGTTCTCGGTAGCCAACAAGTACACCAGATTCATTGCAAAGCCAAACAACTTGTTGGCACAACATCTATAGTTCATGCAGTGCTGAACAAAAACATCCCAAGCAGAAGGGTAGGAAAAGGGAAAGCCTGAAAAGGCGGAACCGAGTGACACCTCACTAAATGCATGTACACTTGAGTTCATTCAGCCTCAAAGTAACCCCGTGACTTCCATTTGCAGTAGAGCCCCCTGGAAAAAGTGAGGACATATTTCCAGAGATGGATTCCATCTCTGAAACCAACAGCGGAAAAGAACAAAACAAATCTACTTTCAGCAAATGGAAGGTAACTGTGACCCGATCAGAGGCCCTTGCCGGTGATCCCTGGGCAGTTCCGGCAGGTCGTGGCCCATCAGGGAATCCACCTGTCGGGCTGACTTCGTCGAATGGACTGAAGACCACCGGCGGCCAAGAAATGAAACACGGGCATATGTTGCTTGGCATTTTTTTTCGAAAGGACAACACCCTCCAAAGTGAAGAACAATCAGGCAGCCTTTTAAGCTTCCTGGGTGTGGCAAATCAGCCTGAACTTGTGATACCAAAGTGGTTGGTTCCCACAACAACTTATGATCACCTTAAAGAACATTCTCCAAAAATATCGCAGAAAACTCAAATTCGGGAATCTTCAAGAAGCTTTTAGCTTGAGCTTCTGTTATCCCCGAAACAGTGGTCTCCCTATACACGTCCAACTACCAGCTGGGTTGCTATGCGGGGAGGATTCATCGCCCGTTGTTCTAGTCCGTAGAGGGACGCCTCCACAACAGGGCAAACCCCTACCATCCAGCACCAGGATCAAGTATTGCCTTTGAAACTATATTTTAAGTGGCTGACCTCACTCCGAAAGAAGCACAACTGGGACTTGGAACCAAGTTGCAACAAGTTTATTGACTTGGCCAGGCCAATCCGATCTGACGCCTGCAACAAGCTAACTTGTTGCCTGTGAACAGGGAACATGAAGGAAACCCAGCAGGGCAAGAAGCTAAGGTCAGAACCTCCAAGTCAGGCCAAAGAGTTCTCATGGGCATAATTGGGCATTCCCGAGGGCTTCTGCCAAGGGGCGTAGCGGGGTGCGCAGTGGGGGCTGCCAGAAAAGGATTACGGAACAACATATCAACCTCTGTCTGGTTCTGTTGAAGGCAAGGCAACCATGTTGGGATTCTTACTATAGCTTGATTCCGCTCTTCCATTTGCTGGAAGTGCTCGGTTTGATGTCGCGCTGGATGTTTTGAATTGGGAAAGCGAACGTTGCACTGCACTCCTGTTTGTCTTTTGCATGCCCATTAAATCTTCCTGGGAGTAGTGGCTTCCTGAGATTGGCCTGAAAAAGTCTACACTTCTTGTTGTCCGCTCAAGTGGTCTCTCCAAAAAGTGACTCAAGTTCAGTAGCTCGGGAAGTGAGAATCTTGAAGGCTGCCCCTAATATTGACGCAGGATTAACAAAAAAACTGGGCGGTCTAGGCGGGGTGTTTGCTCCAAACGCGAAGTGTTTGCCTCTAACATGGGACACCTTCCACAAAAACCGACCAAGGGTCAGGGATGGGGAAAAAAAAAAACATATCCAACCAAAATCGAGAGCTTATGAATCCTAGATGTTTATCCATTTTTTAACACCTCCTTTTACCTCCCAGGTCTAATCCCAGGCTTTTGCCCGCTTTCGAAACTCAAAATCTGATTTCGGGGGCCCAAGCCACGGGCTTCGATCTCGCCCGCGCCAGCTCAATTCTGGCCGTAAGAACAAGGCCTAGTCTTTCATGTTGGAAGGAAACCCACCCGTTGCAAAAAGAAGAAACAAAAACCGGAAAAAGAAGAAGAAGAACAACCCAAAAAAAACAGAAGCAACCCACTGGGTGTTCAGGTATCCCTTAGTTGTTAGTTGGTGGTTTGGGTATTTTAAGCCCTAGTTCTTGTAGAGGGGAAATGGGAATCCCTAACCAGACCAACTGGGAAAAAGCTGATGTCTCAGCTTTCCTCATTGTGGTTTGGATTGGCGGTTTGGTGGTTAAGAAGGGGTTACCCTCTGCAAAAGCCAGGAGTTCAAAAAACCCCAAACCACCAATCCAAACCTGCCTGATGTTTGGGAAACAGGGTACATGGCCCTCAACAAAAAAAAACGCATGGATGTCCCAGCCTGCGGGAAGGGCTGGCCCTTCCATGCCGGAACCCCCTCTCGCCTGGCGAAAACCGAGAGGTCCAAGCTCGTCTTGGAGCATTCAATCGCCATCCAACATCTGGGTTTCTAAATGTGTTTTTTTTTTTTTTATATTTTTTTTTGATTTTTTTTTTTTTTTTAAGTGTCCTTTTGGCTTCCCTTTAAACCAACAAGGGTACCCTCTAATTGGCCACATCTTCTCTCCTTTCTGTTTGGCACGGCGCAAGCCTCCGGGAACCGACGGCCACCGATGGCTCACGAGGCGATCGCGATCGCGATCCGAGTCCGCGGCTCGGGCCAGGGGCTCGCCTCGGGCGGAGCTGCGATCGGATCGAAGACCCGACGACTGGAGCCTGGAGTGCGTGCATGACGCCTGTGGGGTTACCCAAAACACAGGGGTCATGACCCCATCTTTGAAGGGGGTCATTGACCAAAAGGGGTCACGACCCCATCTTAGGGTCATGGAGACACCAGGTACTCATTTTGCGCGGAAGGGGTGGCAGTGACTCGAGCGGGGCTTGTCTTTTGTCAAAGGGAAAGTCTCTGGGAAAACTTGCTGGTTCGAGAGGGTGGGAATGAGAAATGGAACGACCCCGATTTAAACCATCCAACTGGTGGCTTCCTGTATTCAGGAATCCCCTTTCGGAGCATTCCCAACACCCGGAACGGTCATTCCCTACGAGAAGCAGCTAAAAAACAGTTGATTCACAATCAACACCTAAAGCTCTAGGGGTAAACGTTTCCTACGCAAGAATTGACACAAACTCATCACCAAAATCTTCTGACTGGTACTCAGGGTTACAAGTCTGCCCAACAACAGGTATAGAAATCGAAGGCGGCCGCGAATTCCTATTGTCATAGACTGAGCCCCACTAACAGTCAGCTGCCCGGGCTTTGATTGTGGCTCGACATTTGCCAGGGGTTCGGCTCTGTCGAGCCCTGGGTCTAAACCCTCACCTGCCCCAAAGACCTGGAAAACAGCTGTCATAGCGCTTGTGGGAGGGTATCTGAAAAATAGGTTTCCTCTTCAAGGCACCCTTTTGTGAGGCCTTGACTGTGAACTGAGATTTGGACAACTGAGCTATTCAGCAAGCACAACTTCCCGGCCAGAAGCTAGTTTCCGGATCTCGGCAAACAAAGCGTAGCCTTTGGGTTGCCTTGACTCACAATTTGGTTGCCTTGACGTGTCAATTCTGTTCAAAACAACCTGACAAACCAAAAGGCCAATCATGGGAAACAGTCTGCCAAGAAATACGCCGGGAAACCCTACCCAACAAGCCCACTCACTTCCTGAATGGATTGGCCAAACATGTCCAAGCCGTTCATTTGTGACTCCCACAAAGTGACGAAAATCCCCGCGGTGTCCTCTCGAGTCACGGGGAGCCAGGCTTTCTCCTCTCGGTCACCCGAGAAGGTCCTATGCCTGGCACGCGCACAAAAGCATGGCCGATGCCCCAGAAAAGCTTCGGAAGGAACCGAAACGGGTTGCAACCAAGGGGCGCCTTTCCTGTGCTGCACAACCAGCGTTTAGCGGGTCCCCTGAGTGGCCCCAAGCACACCTCCAGCTAGCCACCAACAGGGCCCATACTTTATAGCAAAGTCAACGAAGTCATAAGCTAAAGGGAAGCGGTTACGGTATTTCTTTTGACGCACTCGCACCGTCGGGATGTAATGTTCGCCTCGGGCCCAAGGATTGTGCCACTCAAAAACATATTGCCCGAGAACTCTGGGGTGAATTCCGTTTGCTTCAGAACCTATGGGTGAATGCCGATAAAATAACCTATATTCCATTGGTAGTTTCAGGGTCCAGGTACTTCAGGAGCCCCAAACCAAGCAGCCGCCTCTCGCCGTCCAGCCAGCGCTTGGCGTCCTCGTTCCGGAAGCCAGGCACCTGAGAGCAAGCCAAATGGCGCTAAGGAAAGCCATCATAAAATGAACAGCTATGCATGCGCGTACTATGCACACATACAAATAGATAGATAGATAGATAGATAGGATAGATTAGATTAGATTAGATCAGATAGACAGACAGACAGACAGACAGACAGACAAACAGACAGATAGATAGATATGATAGGATAGATAGGATAGATCGATAGATAGCTAGATTAGATTAGATTAGATTAGATTAGATAGATAGAATAGATTAGATTAGATAGATGGATGGATGGATAGATATGGTACATCCCCCCAGTTTTGACCAAGACAACAACCTCACCAAAAGAGGGCACTGCGGAGGGGAGGGGGGTCGGAATTGCAAATTCGCATTTAGATGTCTAACTACGGCATTCAGATGCTGGATCCAAGATCCAGGATTTCTGCAGGTTGTTTGTCGTGTCGTTTAGGTGTCCGTGAGGCTTAGGCTTAGGTGGTTGCAAGTGCTTCTCTGCAGCTTTTGAACCCCCGCAGTTACCTGGGAGTAACTTGACCTCGAGGGAGAAGCCTTGCCTTTGCTTTCCTCCCCCCCATTTTGCAAAGTCAAGCTGGACCTTTCTTGGGGAGCCTCAATTTGCCAGAAGAGGGAAAGGGTCAGGAAGGCATCGAGCAGGACATGCCACAAAACGGCCCGTGGGAAAGCTATTGTCAATGGGTCCAACGTAACCGCCTCTCCACCTTTGCCAAATACCCTATTGATAAGGCCACACTAAAAATACCTTCTGGGTGCCTTCAGCGGACCAAAAGTCGGCCCTTGGTTGCAAGCAGGGAAGCGGCCATTTCCCAAAGCGATGGGAATAAGTTTCGGTGTCAAAGTCAACTTGGGATAGCGCGGCCTTGGATGCAACCGCATGACATGGACTCGACATTCTTCACTTGGCGCCCCTTCTGGATGAATATGATTTGGGTCTCTTCTTGTTCGGGGACCATCGGGACACCCAAAAAGCTGGCAAGCCCCACTTTGCTTTCCCAGCCACAAGCAGGTACTCACTTGCTCAAAGGACCTGGAAGTAAAAGGTTAACCTTTTGGGACCTTTACTAAAATAGACCAAACTAGGAAAACCAAAAGGTTAAAAGGTCGGCTTTGGGCAACTGAGGGTACCCTCAACAAAAAGGCACTTCAACTTGATGCCCCCAGACGAAGGGGTCAAGGTACAAGGAGCAATCTGCTGGGCGCTGGCACCCGCGCGGGAAGCGATGCTCGCGGCAGCTCCTCCAAAGGCCTCGCCAGAGCGCTGGGCCAAGCCTAGCCCCAGGATTCATTTGGGCCATTTGGGGGCTGATCAAAATTCCGGGCCCCTGAATGACCACAGGTAGATGTCCTTGTGAAAATTTTGCCTGTTAGCGAATGACCATGGATGTTCCGTTTTAGTGGGAAAGTTGTCTGTTAGGTTCTTGCGGTCATCCTCAACCCCCATTTATGCCTTGGTCAACACTCATTGTGGGTCACGGTCATGATTCTCAAAATGCCAACCTTCCCACCAGCTTCTCTTTGATGAGTTCAACTCTCACGTGCCACTGGGCCACCGGCCGATCTTTCATTGAACAACCCAGTCCTGCCCTAGAAAAATCACCCAGGGTTCATTTCTGACCCAAGGGACCAGCAACCCAGTCCTTTCCTAGAAAAATCACCCAGCTTCATTTCTGACCCAAACAAACCAGCCAAAACCGTCCGCGGCAGGGCGCCAATGGCCCGTCCCGATGGCTACCGCGGATCTCGCCTGTCTTTTCGCAGCGCCTCGTTGAGCTGCTCCTAACGGCGCGTTGGGAGGAACTGGGATGGAGCACCTGGCTGCCGCGGACCCGTGGTTTCGACCATACGGCATTTAGGCCAATGGATTCAATTTGGGGAGAAAACACATCTACAGAGAGAAAAAAACATCAACAGAACAAAAATCCATCAACAGAAACAAATCCATCAACAGAAAAATCCATCAACAGAAAAGTCCATCAACACAAAAATCCATCAACAGAAACAAATCCATCAACAGGAAAATCCATCAACAGAAAAGTCCATCAACAGAAAAATCCATCAACAGAAAAAAACCATCAACAGAAAAGTCCATCAACAGAAAAATCCATCAACAGAAAAAAACCATCAACAGAAAAATCCATCAACAGAAAAATCCATCAACAGAAAAATCCATCAACAGAAAAAATCCATCAACAGAAAAATCCATCAACAGAAAAATCCATCAACATAAAAATTCATGAATGGTTTCATTTGCATGACACTGTTTGGGAGCAAACAATGATGTGGTACCACCCTCGCTCAAAGCTTGTGGAGGTTAATGACTTCTCTCAGGACCTCTGAAACCAAGCGTAAGGGATGCCTCGGCTGTTTGGTGCGTCCTTTGGCAAAATGCCACCTTTCTTGGGTCCCAAAATCTGTCCTATTGGCGAACTGCGCACGGTTTTGATGGTTTGAACCCCATGGGCAGGGACCACTTCCCCTCTAGCTCCAGCTTCCAACACCCGTGGTTTCGACCATTTTAACACCCCCAGCACTTCAGCCAATGAGTTTCACGCGAATTATATAATTGACACGAGTTGATATGCCCATGCGAGCCATGGTATGCGGTTGAACCCCCAGAGGGAGGTTTAACACAACTGAGACCACCTGGATCGGCCGAGCTCGTGGTCAGCTCGTCGAGGTATAGCTCCAGAAAAAAACGGCAGAGGTAGTTCCACTGAGTGGCTTATGGGAATAACCTAAGTTACAAGCAACCTCGTAACTTGGCCGAACACCCAAGTTGGGTGTTTTGACCCAGAAGGGGTCGGTGTAGCCCAACTAGTCAACTGAGTGATATGGGAATCATCCTGGAGAAACACCTGGAAAATGGCAGGTTGCCTACTACAGTGGCAACTGGGCCCCATTTGGCAACGAAGAGGGTTCCGCTTAGTTGCGACCGGCAGAACCCGTTTTGCTCCTGGAGCTGTTGGCGCAAGTCATCGATGCCCCTCAACGCCTCTCGAAACGAGTCAAAACGGAAGCAGAAGTTTCGCGCATGTTCGCGCGCGTCGCGGGTGAAAGGCGTACTTCCAGAGTGGCTTGACCAAAGTCGAAACTACGTGGCTGCTGACCACACAAGTGGTCTTCCCAAAAAGTATAACATTCAACTCGAGAGAGAAGAGGCAAGCTCTTTGGCTCGCTCCTCAGCTTCCAACAGAACCCGCTTTCACCTGCTGGGTGCGCACCCCCCCCCCCTGCCCCTTAAGAAGAGTTAGGGATGGAGGCCCTCAGGTCGTCCTCGTAAAAGGAAGCATGGAAAAATGAGATGGACTTCCAGGGGCACCTTTTACATTTTGTTCGTGGGACATTTGCTTCTCAGGGAACTTGAAGGAACCCTTCGGGACCAATGTATCCGCAATGAGAAAAGCGGCAACTTGCCTTGGCAAATCTGGATGTCCACAACATGCGCAAGACACAAGTGCGTGTTTGGGCAAGGAGAAGCCCTTGGCTACATGTTACTTTGCACAGTTACTCTCCATGCGGAACCTCCAAAAGTGCTGAACAAGTTTATTTCACAATTAGTGACTTTCAAAGCTTAGTTCCCCGTTTTTCCCTTTTGGTGTTTCTTCGACACGTATCCTAAGGGGTCCCTGTTTCGAGACACACCAATGTAAATCATGCAAGTTGCAGGCAGGGTTGCTCTAACAACCCGGGCACGTTTGTAGAACAAGATGTCCCTGCAAGAAACATCACTCATTCCCGCTCTTGTTGGGCAAACCATACAATAGGTAACCAGGGCAGACCGTCAAGCTAGCGGCAAAATGCCGAAGGGTTGGAAAAGAGGTAATTCGAAGAATCGCGCTTGGGAATATCTTCGACTTTGCTGGCTTGCTTGCACCCTGAAGTTGCTCATATTGCCTTGGATGAAAGTGACAACTATACCTTTGAATGGCGGTTTTGTTAAGGGACAACCTGCCAAGAGTCATTTTGAGAACTCCTCAACTGGCAAACTTTCTGGAACCCTGTCATTGAGCAAACCAATGGGTCCAACAAATCGCTCAATTATAAATTGGGGCTTGGACTAGGTGCAGTTTGAAGACACCAAGACATGCGCAATCTTGAGTCACATTCGGGACCCCCCCGCCCCAATGAGCCCATTCAAGGGAAACAAACAACAAAGTCCGACCAGCTGCTAAAGAACACAATTGTGATGTTAACAAACGAAAAGCAACAAACACCAAGCACCTATACCAAGCACAGTGACTTCTAGAAATCGCCCCTCCCCCTATTGTTAAACCCCTCCGCCCCTCCCCGCCCCCCCGGCCCCAGTGGCAAGTTTCAGAGGGAACAAATTACTGGTGTCCGGGAGTCCCAGGTTGTTTCCACTACGGTCCTCCTGCAAATGGGCCTTTGCCGGGCGCAAACGTTGCCAAACTCCTAAATCTGCCGGGTAAGGAACTTATATGGAAATGCTCAACGCACTTGTTTGGATCTGTCAATTCAACATTTACAAGCAAAAACAATGTTACTTTGAGTTTACAATCAAAAGAAGGGAGGTGCTGAAAGTACCGTGTTGGTTTAGTTTTGGGTGAACTAAAAGCAAATGGGCAGAGCTTTGCTCTTGGATTTTGCCTGAAACGCAAACACTTATCAGGGTTGCTTTATGCAGAGGGGGGAGGAACTAGGGCTGCGGGGTTTTTCCATGTCCACTTCAGTGATATAGATCTGGAAGGTCCAAACGACTCACATCGGCTGGTCGGCTGGTCGGCTGGTCGAGCGGCCAACTCCTCAGGTCCAGGGCCTCTTTCTGCACCCGCGCGATCTGCTCGCCGAGTTGCTGACGATGGGCCTCGAAAGGGAAAGCGCAACTGGGTTGCTGTTGACCCCCCGCCAAAAAGCTAAACCTTTCGCGGGTTTAGTGGAAAACGCCTTGATTTCCCAAGAAGTTAAAGAGTAAAGATCCATTCCAATAGCAGTCAAGGCAATTCTGCATGTTCTTTGGGGGGTTGGGTGTTTGCAGCCGACCTGGAAATGGATGTGCCATCCCCACACCCTGACAAAATCCATTGGGGAAATGCTTGTTGAACAGATAGAAAGTAGTGAGATTGCCCAGGTTGGAACCTGCTTCAAATTCGCGGTTTGTATTGGTTTACGGGTTGCCGGGTACCTTCGGGTGGCACATGTGCTGGAAACCCAGGACAAACGCTGGACATGCCCAATTTGAGCGAACTGTTAGGAGCCGTTCAGGACCGCAGCGCAAAATGAAGCATTCCTTATGTTTCCTTTCAGGGGGAGCCCTTAGAACTGTGGATACCTTTCCGAGAACCAGTAAGCAGCAAGCATCCCCGTCTTGACTAACCCTCACCGGAGAAAAATGGGCACCTGATATTGGTTGGCCGACTTTAAATGGAACCCCCTCAAAAAGCAAGGAGGAAGCCTGGCCAATTGATATCCCCCAAGCCCCGGAATCCTTCCGGAATTTTGGTCAACGGCTCCTGATTTCACTCGGAGCCTGGGCAGAGACCCCATAGCCTTCAGCGGTGGAACTGGGCATCAGAGATCTTGCCCATCCAATTCGTCCGATTCGATGATTCGAGGCTCCGGCCTCCGAGTCTCTTGCATTCCGTGCGAGGTCTTCCAGGTAGGCACTCACCTGGCCGGGACCGCTCAAGCCGATGGAAAAGGATCTCAGCCGAGAGGCATCAAGTAACGATGTTTAAGCTGAACGGCTTGCTCGCTGCGATTTGCCCAAATTCTCTCGAAGCTGCGGGTGTGCAACTGGCTCCCAGCCGCACAACGCTGGGTTGCCATCCCATAGCACCTGGACCTAGTCCCATATGCAGAATTCAACTTACCAAATTGTGGTGGCAGAGGTCAAAAGGTCGCACCCATCGGCGAGCGGTTGAAAAAAGGGGGGGGCTCTTTTGTGACCGTAGGTCACCTTTTTTGAAAACATGGCCATGGTAGATAAAACCAATCACCAGTGCCATCTATGTCTAAACAAACTAACCGATCAAAAGGACACCTATGGTGACCCGTTTGGGTTCAACTCATACATGGGTCTCTGTGATGCGTGATTGAAACACCGAGTGCCCGAAAATGGTGCAAACGAAATAAAGAGCCAGTGCTTGGACAATTTGTTTCTGAAACTTAATGTTGAAGCCCTGGTCGAAAGGAATCTGGTTGGTTGATGATTGATGGAGCTGCCCAGCCCATCTTCATGCACTCTTGATTGGATTGGTCAGAAAAAGTCAGAACATTTTGTGTACCACTCAAATGAACTTCCCCAAACAACTGAAAAACACATATTTCATAAACGCAGGAAGTCGCTTAGTTGTTAAAGAGGCTTCTCTGAAACATATTCTTGTCCAGGTCCCATCTCTTGAGCGCTACATGATTAAAAACATATCAGGGTGGTAGGGGGAAGTGGGCTGAGGGATCAACAAAGAAAAATCAAAAAAATCAGGATCAACCAACAATTAAACGGGTAGTAGTAAGCAGATGATGTAGTAAGCAGAAGATGTGAGGTCTAGAAGCACTTCACCATTCCCTTCCTTTCTGTATCCCTCGCTTTCTCCGACAAAAGATATGGCGTGGAGAATGGAAGGTACCATCTTTATCTGTGAACCGCTCCAGCTCACAGACAAATGAGGAGACAGTGGAGCGGCATAAAGATGGATGGAGAGCCTCTTTCTGTAACCGTAAGTAATACCTAACAGAAATGGAGGCTCCCCATCGCTTTGTTCCTTCCCTTTCATCCCCAAATGCAAAAACAAATAGAAGGGAAAAGGGGAAGGATGGACAAAAGATGGCATTTGTTTACCGGCAAGGAAAGGAGCTGGCTCGTGACAAGACTATCCACTGCTAAGCCATCCATCATCAACAGCAAACAAGCTGTCGGGCTCCCTTGGACTCAGAAGCGATTCGCCGATTTCCAAACATGGCACTGTTGTTCGCCGGGATTTGACGGCAACCCCTCCGCCCCACCCAAAAACAAAAAGCAGAAAGGTGGCACTGACAGTGGTAACTTTGAATCGGGATTTATTCCAGTGTTTTGCCGGCTTAGGGCAAATCGCCACGACAAGTCTAAGCAGTAGAATCCAAGAACCTGCTAACTAAGCGACCACAAATCGGTTTGGGAGGTTCATTCTACTCAAGAAGCAGGATCCAAGCTTCCAGCTGCACAAAAGGCTCACCGAAGCGACCTCTGGAACCGCTCACCGCGTGTCGGATTGAAAACAGCGAACCTGCACCCGCTGGCCTGCAAGAAATAAACATCACCAGTCTGCCCTTCCACGAGCACAGCCACCGCGTCCGCCAGGCTTGCAGCCCAACGCAGGTGTAGGCTTCACACTGGCAAACACCCACGAGTCAGTTGTGGGCCCCTGCTCCATTCAGAAGGGGATGATCTCCAACCTGACTTTGCTTCAGCCGCACGAGGGCACAGCAAGGGAAACCACCATCTGGCATAAAGCCGTATACCTCACTTCCTGAGTTGATTGGCCAAAAAAAGTCCAAACTTTTTGTTTACCACCAAAATGGTCTTCCCATTTTAGTATACAGTCCATGAACTCAGGGAGGGAGATACCGGCTCACGCGCAGCAATTTTTTGAGCCACGCCCAGCTACGTGGTGCAGCTCCTTCGGCCCGGCCCATGGGCCCGTCCGCCCGTGCCCCCGCCTCCTGTGAAAAGCTCTTCTGCGATCTCTCCTGGCACATCTGCTAGACGTGCCATTCCTTCAAGCTGCTGATGGATAGAATCCATGGACAGCACCACAAACTGAAACCATGGTTGAAACCTATAGCTTATTGGTAGTTACAGCATCATATCATTCCAGGCTTCTGAACGACACAAAATTTCGTCCCACAGTATGGAAGCGCTTGCTCTTCCTTCTCTTGGCTCTCTTCCAATCCTCTGGTGGGCTCCCTGTTGGCCTGTGAAAGCTTCGTCCTGCAAAGAGCCCCCCTTTCAACCTAGCGGGCTTCGGGGAGAGCAAGAGGTGACGTTGGGAGCAGAAAAATCAGATACCCTTTGGCTTTTTTCGAGTTTAGTGGGTTCTTCAACATCGGCAAAGAGAAAGTTCAGCTTTTAGCCAGGGCCAACGAACCACGTAGGGACCTTCGTGGGGAATAGGGAGCGAGAAGAGCAGCGAAGCTTTTGGGGGCAGCGACTGATTTCACCGCATGAAACAACACAGCTTCTCCTAGGCATATGGGCGTCTTTTGTTAGGGGGAATTGTGGTTAAAGGTAATGAAAATGATAAAGGAAAAGAAGGAAAAGGAACAGGAATAACAATAAAGAAAAAAACAAATATGGGAAAGTTATTCCTGATCCAATAGATGACAGGTAATTCCAGGAATGAAAAGATTCTGGAAAGGATGGGATTCTTCTTGGCATAACATTACATCCTAAGAAATGCATTGGGGAAAAGTGCCCAGAATGGTGGCTTCCCTTTTGGTTTTAAAACCATTGAACAGGCGACCCTCAAAAAGGACATACTCATATGTGAGACGTTTTTAAGGGGACCTCACAGAGCCCCTGTGTGGGTTCCTAAATGAGTTGGCAAGAAAGTAAAACCCGCAAAGCAAGAAAAACAAACGGATAATGCATCCCGTAGCATGTGCAAGGTCGCCATACCTGTGCACTGGGACCTTGGCGTGGCTCAGCGTGTCAGCGTCCGGGACTTCGCAAAAAAGCCGAGCAAGCAAGCGCCATCAAGCGTCTTTCGTGGGAGGCTCCGAATGCGCTCGATTCGAACTTCGAAGGAGCGTCCTGATCCATCAAGGGCCTGAGCTGGCACTGCATCTCCACGACTTGCTGCGAGATGAGGCGCCTGGGGCATTTAGAGGCTTTTGACTCGGGAAATCGAGAGGCCCCTCCCCTGCAACTTGCAAAAAAGCAGTTGCCCAGGAAAAATGGCCGGACTTTTGTACTTGACCCCATCTCTCCTAATTGTTTCTTGCCTTTTCAACCTTATCAGGAGCGTGCAACTATACAATCCCAGGCGTCACCTCTCTCTCCCTGATTCCTTTCTGTCACTTCCCTCCATCTTTGGAAAATGTAAACAACAAAGTGGAACTTCCCATAAAGTGGGAAAACGTGGAACATGTTGTTGACATTTTGAGGTCGAGGTCCTTCCTCTGGCTTAAACACCCCCTTCGTTCCCCAAACGCGGGAGCCAAGCCCTGGACCCCGGCGAGGGAGAAAGCCAAGCTAACCCAGTGCTAACCCAGTGCTTCCAGGCAAGCCACTAAAGGGAAACCAGGATGTAAAACCTAGAGGCAAGAAACCTGAAGAGTTTCCTACTACAGTGGCCAAACGCCTGGAAGCACAGGGCAAGGCATGATCAAAAGAGAAATATGTGCCTTGTATTAAGGGATATCCTGTAGCAATCCAGAGTTGCCCCGGCGGAGTGCATACATGCACTCGGGGTGAAATCCAGCCTAGCTTGTGACATCTTCAGAGGTCAATGGACTTCAGTCAAGATATAAGGCGGGTTCATGACTTACCCTCCCGTCGTGGCTTGGTGAGGCAAGCCCCTTAAGCTACAAGCCAAGCAAAGCCTTCCAGTGCGGGCTCTCTGCAGCAAGACATGCTTTGTTGAGACAGCATCGAGCATCTCACTTGCCCAAACCCTGGCTCCATCACCCCAATTGTTTTTTTGTTTACAAACAAAATGCAGGGTTTCCGCTAAAATGGATTAAAGTGGACTCATACATCGGTTTGTTTCAACTATCATGCGAGCCATGGGCTTAAGCCAAGGCGCTGCGAGTCCCTTAACTTCTGCAAGTGAGCCCCGTGGTGCTCCTGCGGGCCAACGGGCCGAGCGATGCTTGGAGCAAATGCGAAGGATATGCTGTCCATGCTGGCGTTTTTGCCAATTTCGCATCCAACCCTAAAGTGCGTGTTGCTGTTGCTGACGCCGACCAAGAGCCAATCCCAAGCAAAAACGAACCACAGGGCCGAACAAAAATCCAAACAAACATGACCAAACCCTACTGAAAGCATCGGTTCTGAGCCGCGCTTGGGCTTGCTTTTTTGGACAATAACACCCATTGCCGAGCAGGCTGCCTTCAATTTGCTGAGGGTACTGCAGCATGGGGTCGAACTCATCGGTTACACGCTTTTGTCCGGTTGTGTCCTATTGATTTCTTGAAAAGCATACCTTACACCGGGTATCCTCGAAAAGGCACATTGTCTAGGGGGGGTACCATGGTTTATGTCAAGCGATTGTTGCCCAAAAAGAATCCGGGCAAAACAACCGGGCAAACAAATCATCTGGCAAACAAATCTGGGCAAACATTACGGCCTGTATGAAGTGGTACCCAAACCATCAAATTTAAGACAACCTCTCTTTCTAAAACAAGTCCAATCAGCCACAGAAATTGGCTGACCGGGGAATCTACAGACTACCGAAGCAACCTCTGTTCAACCTCTGTCGCCTTTTCCTCAAACCCGCAGCCAAAGTTCCATGGACAAGTTAGCCAAAGGGATCCCCATTGATGCTCAATGGCCACCGCAGTCAGAGTGTCATGTGTGCCTGGAGCCTACTTCCTACGTTCACGCACAAAGGGGGGGGGGTGTCCACAGAAGCCAGTGATCCTGTCTAATACCAAGTACTGAAATCTAACAGTAAGTCCTGGAAATACTAAGTCAGACAACGTAGGCAAAAATGAACCAAGTGCTGAGAATCTACAAGTCAGTCCTGGCAATACTAAACTTAGACTAGGCAATACTAAACTAAGCTCTTGCAATCCAACAGGAACTGCTTGCAATGCTAAACTAAGTAGGCGATACTAGGGAAATAATTTCGTCATCCAAGCTCCCTGATGGCTGAGAGCAGGGGGGGTGAGTCCCAAACCGGTGCGCTCAATCGCTAAGGAGGGAGCACCAATTCTGGTTACGGTCTCGCTAAGGTGCCTGGATCTATTTGAAGAGGATCCAATGATGTCCCAATAATGGATGTAGACACTATTGGATGTCTCTGGTAAATTGGTGTGCAGCGGTTGTCCCTCTGAGCGTGCCGCAAGGTTCTTTCCGATGATGATGAATCACATGCGTAGTGTGAAAAGAAAGAAAGGCCTTGAGCCGAAGATCAATGATATAATGCGAAGCAAAAGCAAACACAGCCGGGGGGGGGGAGGGGCCCAAATTGAACAAGGTCCAACAGATGCGAACCCAAAAAACCGTGGCTCCTCCAAGTTGGCGAGCTGATGGGCAAAGCCGGTCTTGTCCTCCAGGCACCTCTCAGCCACTTCCTGCCCGCTGAAGGCCCAGCGGCTAACGTGCCCCAAACCTCCCCACAGTGGTCGGGGTTGCCGGTGCTCGGTACCTCTTTCCCTTTTACTTGGTCGACGTTGGGTTTGGGGAGCAAAACAATAAATTTTAGCAGTTCAGTGGATGGATTTCAACCACTAAACCACAATAGGCAAACATGTGTCAAATGTGTCCCAACAACAACCATGTTTAAGCAACCCCCAAAGGCTTCGAAAAAATATCCTCGCCCAGTGGACTTGATTCATAGAGTTTCACAAGCAGGATAGAACGGACCACGGACCTGGGCGGGGCTCTCTGCCACATCGGGACGTGGAAATGAAGCTCAGTTTGGAGCTTTGGCTTAATCTGACACAAAAAAAAGCCAAGAAGTGAAAAGGACACATTGGCAAGCAAACCGACAATATATGCTCATCTCACCCGACTCGACCTTCCCAGTCTCTACTTGGAATCTGAGCTCCCATCTTAATGCTCAGGACCATATTATGTATCCGATCAACAAGCAAAAGGTAATTTCGGGCCAACCGATTCCCAGCCCACATCCCGGGGCATGAACGCACTCGACCAATAGGTACGGTTGGCACACATTTAGACACTTCAACCAGGAAATGCTGAAGGAAATCCACAAATGCATATAAGTGGATTTCATTATATTCGAGGGTCAATTCGTTTTATTCGGGGGTTGTGTTGGGGAATTTCATGGGCCCATTCTTGCAGTTTGAGGTCACAGCCATGCCGCCCCATGTAGCCTGTTGGCTTGCAGTGAAGCACATGGAACTGGCAAATACGCGCTTGGAAAATGGAGAAAATCAATTGAGGTACTTGTCGCTTGTATACGGTGTTTCTCCAGCCCGTCGGCTAGGTCGAGCAAGTTTGGGCACTTAAGGTTGCTTCGGCCCCTAGCGCCTCAACCGGCGAATTACTGCTGCCCAACCAGGCTCTGTGAAGGATGTCAGCTTCACCCTGTGAACCCTGCAGTCGTCTAGCCACACCATTGCAGTTGAAGATGCTTTTCAAAAACCGCCCACGAGCCAGTCTTCAAGATGTATACTAATTCAAGACGCCAACTGCCTGCAGCTGAGAAAAGCAACGGGGTCAAGCAACTTGCCTTACACTTAGCAGTAGTTGCAAGCATTGCTTGCGCCAACTTCTTCCTGCAACACGCTGAGATCTAAGGTACAGTGAGAATGGGAAGGGTTTTATTCGGATTCAAAACCTTTTGCTGCGGGGCGAGTGCCGATGTGATAGGGGCAACTGCTTCAACAAGTTTGCTGCAAAGCCAGGCCTACAAGCAGAACTGAACTCCTTCCTGAAAATGTTCTAGAATATAAAACCTGCTCAAGACTTTCGCGAAGGAACCTTAGCCCCTCCCTGAAATCCATGAGTTCGTGCGGGAAGTCACCATTGCCAAGCTCTAGACCAGCGTTTCCAATGCACTGGGGCGGTTCCTTTGATTGAAGGGTTAGGACCATGTTTCAAACATGTTGGCCTGTGCAACTCCACCCCCCCCCCCCCGGCCCCCAAGGTTCACAAAAGGAAGCCGGTGAAGCACATAAAGCTCGACATATTCTTCATGAGTCTGTATGCTTCCCAACAAGTGTGTTGTCCAATGCTGCAAGAATCACGCAAAACACTAAGGTTCCAAAAGCTGCCCGATCTCGCAAACCGACACCAGAGGTGGTGAATGTGGCGAAACAGTGTGGATAATGGAAAGTGGATATGAGTGTCATGGGTTGTCACTGCCTAATCTACCGCTTCCGCCCCCGCCCCCCCGAGTTGCCGAAGATTTAGAGGTTTCAATAGAGAACCTGGATAACGATGAGGAGGTGAAATTCCCTTGAAACACTGACTGGGCCACTCGAACTTGTGGCAAGGCTAGTAGAACCAAATTTTGGGTGCAATTCCGAAGACCCTTCGCACCAGAAGCCTGCCACGATGAAACCTGAAAATGCTGCATTCTCAGTGTCCACGCAAAGTGTCGCTGCTTGGCTGCTTTGCTTTGGCTGGGCCTCTTCATGATGCGCGGGTTATAGGTGAAGCAAAGGTACTCCCCATTGTTCACACGCTTCACGCGCAAGTTGAAACACCTCCTACAATTGCGCCAAGCTTTCCGGCGTGTGACACGTGCGCCTACTGCAAACAGGTTTGTGGGAACTGTTTTCTAAAGGTCGGTGTTAGTGAGTCAGTTGAGTTGCTTGACGTGCCGCTGAGGACTCTACATCAAAATTCGAGCGGCTAGGGCCTACACGCGCCGTCTCGATAAGATTGCAGCTGAAAGGAGCTTGGAAGAAATTTTCCGGGCACAGGGTTTGCTTTGGCTTAGAAAGTGTTGCGATGGTCACTCTGCAGCCAAACGCAGGCCATGAGGCCATTGGACTATCCCTTGCTCCCCTATGCGTTCGCATGCTTACTTGGCTGTTGCAACAATGCTTGCGTACGATGGCGCTGCGAAGGCGCAGCCCGACTTTGGACATGCTGCGATTTTCTCACCCGCAGCACTGTGAGGGTTTCGTGCTTTTACTACGCTGTGTTTGCGCCGCCGCCTCCTCTTCCGTCCTCGACGCCCTCACTCACGCAGTCTCACCCGCCCACCTGTGCTGAGCCTCTCATTCTTTCTGAATCGCCCTCACTCACTCATCGTAACTTCTCACCTACCCATTTGCACTCACTGACTCTCAGTCGCTCATTCTCAACTAGTCTCACTCATACATTCCCGCTCCCTCTCGCTCGCTCTTTCTCACTTGACTCACTCATTCTTACTTTGCATTCTTACTCACTCAATCTCATGCGTCTCACTCTTGCTCATTTCCGCTCACTCAGTCTGACTCACTCATGAGTCACGCTCACTCCTTTTCACTCATTCTCCCTCGTTCTCACTCCTTCTCACTCCTTCTCCCTCGTTCTCACTCCTTCTCACTCCTTCTCCTCCACATCACGCATCACCTCCCGTGCCTTTAGCATCGCCTATCCCTTTATTTCCGCACTTGAGCACTGAAAAAAGAGCGGAGGGAAGGAGTGAGCGAGCGAGTGAGTGAGAATGAGTGAGAGTGAGTGAGTTTGAGGCAGAAGGCGCTGGTTTTGGAAGCGCAGGCACGGAAGTTTCGCACCACTTCTGAAGGGGTACATAATTCCCAACATGCTTGTGCGCACAGTTTTTCCATTTACGTGTATGTATGCGCTCGCGAAGCATAGCCCAAAATGGCATCCCTTTACACCAGCCAGCAGAAGGTACAGCGCCCTCAAAACAAAGCCGCCTGAGGTCTGAGGCCTGTCCTTGTGAGCCCAAACTTTATTTTTGCAACCTTGCCCCTGAAGATCTTTGTGCATATCATCAACGCTGGGTTTTTCACTTGGTCAGCGCTCCCTTGGTTCCTGAATGGTTGTTTCCCTCTCTAAACAAAAGACTGGTGAATACTTGGGAGTGGAAAAGGCGACGGTTTGGCATCCCTGGCAAAGGCGACGGTTTGGCATCACGCTGCGTGATCAGTTGGCTGATGAGGAACTTCAGGAATTTCAGGAGCCACCCAGGCAATCAAAAGCATACATGGGTCACCTTTCAGGGATCCAAGTTGTGGCTTTTCAAAAGGTGATGGTTCGGTACAAACCGTCGCCCTTTGACAGCAGGATGTGACAGGCTAAGGAAACAGAGGGAAGAGCGAAAGGAGAAAATCCGAGAAAAGGGGAGGCCGGAGAACTTAGAACGATTGAGAAAAGGGGAGCCACTCTTAGGTTGTTTTGGTTGGGGGGGGGGAGGGTTGTGGCAAGGGGGCAGAAGGTGATGGTTTGAGGCAAACCGTCGCCTTTTCAAAATCCAGGATTAGAACCCCAAAAAGGTGACGCATTTATTCTGACTGGCGACTTGTTGGGTCAAATCGTTGCCTTCCGCGGGGAAGCGAAACCGTCGCCTTTCCCAGGGATGCCAAACCGTCGCCTTTGCCAGGGATGCCAAATAGTCGCCTTTTCCACTCCCAAGTATTCACCAGTCTTTTGTTTAGAGAGGGAAACAACCATTCAGGAACCAAGGGAGCGCTGACCAAGTGAAAAACCCAGAGTTGATGATATGTACAAAGATCTTCAGGGGCAAGGTTGCAAAAATAAACTTTGGGCCGAAGTTGCAGCAGGGCTCACAAGGACAGGCCTCAGACCTCAGGCGGCTGTGTTTTGAGGGCGCTGTACCTTCTGCTGGCTGGTGTAAAGGGATGCCATTTTGGGCTATGCTTCGCGAGCGCATACATACACGTAAATGAAAAAACTGTGCGCATAAGCATGTTGGGAATTATGTACCCCTTCAGAAGTGGTGCGAAACTTCCGTGCCTGCGCTTCCAAAACCAGCGCCTTCTGCCTCAAACTCACTCACTCTCACTCATTCTCACTCACTCGCTCGCTCACTCCTTCCCTCCGCTCTTTTTTCAGTGCTCAAGTGCGGAAATAAAGGGATAGGCGATGCTAAAGGCACGGGAGGTGATGCGTGATGTGGAGGAGAAGGAGTGAGAAGGAGTGAGAACGAGGGAGAATGAGTGAAAAGGAGTGAGCGTGACTCATGAGTGAGTCAGACTGAGTGAGCGGAAATGAGCAAGAGTGAGACGCATGGGATTGAGTGAGTAAGAATGCAAAGTAAGAATGAGTGAGTCAAGTGAGAAAGAGCAAGATAGAGGGAGCGGGAATGTATGAGTGAGACTAGTTGAGAATGAGCGACTGAGAGCCAATGAGTGCGAATGGGTAGGTGAGAAGTTACGATGAGTGAGTGAGGGCGATTCAGAAAGAACAAGTGGCTCAGCATAGGTGGGCGGGTGAGACTGCGTGAATGAGGGCGTCGAGGACGGAAGAGACGGGAGGAGAAGCAACCGGGAGGCGGCGGCGCAAACGCAGCGTAGTAAAAGCACGAAACCCTCACAGTGCTGCGGGTGAGAAAATTGCAGCATGTCCAAAGCCGGGCTGCGCCTTCGCAGCGCCATCGTACGCAAGCATTGTTGCAACAGCCAAGTAAGCATGCGAACGCATAGGGGAGCAAGGGATAGTCCAATGGCCTCATGGCCTGCGTTTGGTTGCAGAGTGACCATCGCAACACTTTCTAAGCCAAAGCAAACCCTGTGCCCGGAAAATTTCTTCCAAGCTCCTTTCAGCTGCAATCTTATCGAGACGGCGCGTGTAGGCCCTAGCCGCTCGAATTTTGATGTAGAGTCCTCAGCGGCACGTCAAGCAACTCAACTGACTCACTAACACCGACCTTTAGAAAACAGTTCCCACAAACCTGTTTGCAGTAGGCGCACGTGTCACACGCCGGAAAGCTTGGCGCAATTGTAGGAGGTGTTTCAACTTGCGCGTGAAGCGTGTGAACAATGGGGAGTACCTTTGCTCACCTATAACCCGCGCATCATGAAGAGGCCCAGCCAAAGCAAAGCAGCCAAGCAGCGACACTTTGCGTGGACACTGAGAATGAAGCATTTTCAGGTTTCATCGTGGCAGGCTTCTGGTGCGAAGGGTCTCGGAATTGCACCCAAAATTTGGTTCTACTAGCCTTGCCACAAGTTCGAGTGGCCCAGTCAGTGTTTCAAGGGAATTTCACCTCCTCATCGTTATCCAGGTTCCCTATTGAAACCTCTAAATCTTCGCCATGGCCTGCACCCTCATCAGATCTTGCAACTCCGGGGGGGGTAGATTCGGCCAGCTGACAAAGGTTGTGCCTTGATAACTTATGATATTTATATTCATTGTTTATTATTTACGTTTTCGCCACATTCACCACCTCTAGTGTCGGTTTGAGAGATCGGGCAGCTTTTGGAACCTTAGTGGTTTGCCTGATTCTTGCTGCATTGGACAACACACTTGTTGGGAAGCATACAGGTTCATGAAGAGTATGTCGCGCTTTATGTGCTTGACCGGCTTGTTGTTGTGAACTTGGGGGGGGTGGAGTTGCAGGCCAACATTTTTGAATCATGGCCCTGACCTTTGAATCAAAGGAACCGCCCCAATGCGCTGGAAACGCTGGTCTAGAGCTTGGCGATGGTGACTTCCCGCACGAACTTGTGGATTTCAGGGAGGGGTCGGGGTGCCTCAAGGGATTATGTGTTTTGTGCGGGAAAGATCAAAGCTAAGGTTTTTTCGTGAAAGTCTTGAGCAGGTTTTATATCCTAGAACATTTTCAGGAAGGAGTTCAGTTCTGCTTGTAGGCCTGGCTTTTCAGCAAACTTGTTGAAGCAGTTGCCCCGATCACATCGGCGCTCGCCCCGCAGCAAAAGCTTTTGAACCCGAATAAAATACTTCCCATTCTCACTGTGCCTTGGATCTCAGCGTGTCGCAGGAAGAAGTTGGCGCAAGCAATGCTTGCAAATACTGCCAACTGTAAGGCAAGTTGCTTGACCCCGTTGCTTTTCTCAGCTGCAGGCAGTTGGCGTCTTGAATTAGTATAAATCTTGAAGACTGGCTCGTGGGCGGTTTTTGAAAAGCATCTTCAACTGTACTGGTGTGGCTAGACGACTGCAGGGTTCACAGGGTGAAGCTGACATCCTTCACAGAGCCTGGTTGGGCAGCAGTAATTCGCCGGTTGAGGCGCTAGGGGCCGAAGCAACCTTAAGTGCCCAAACTTGCTCGACCTAGCCGACGGGCTGGAGAAACACCGTATACAAGCGACAAGTACCTCAATTGATTTTCTCCATTTTCCAAGCGCGTATTTGCCAGTTCCATGTGCTTCACTGCAAGCCAACAGGCTACATGGGGCGGCATGGCTGTGACCTCAAACTGCAAGAATGGGCCCATAAATTTCCCCAACACAACCCCCGAATGAAACGAATTGACCCTCGAATATAATGAAATTAACTTATATGCAAAGTGATTGTTATTGTATTTCGGATGAACCACCAATAAACTCAAGTTTGCATCTAGAAATAGCAGCTGTCCAAGAGGCCCTATGTGGGGAAGTAGCCACCAAAACTGCCCAATTGGCCACAGACACGGTGAAAATTATTTGCGCCCTTTTTATGACATGGGAAATTGGTGAGCCTCATGTCTTCCCCTTTACCACTGCAAATGACAGTAGATAGTGATTCATACTTCACAACCCGGAATTAGGAATCCCAAGGGGGCCTTCATGGGCGATCGCTTGACCCCTGGAACCTCGAGCTAGTTTCAGGACAAGATTCAAAAAGCAACTACGTGATGGCCAGTGGCTTCTTTCGAGTGGGTTTGTCTCAAATATGGGGACCCCTAACATGGGTGATTTCCCTTTCATTCCCTTAAATCCAACCCCAAAGAATCCCGCAAAGAAGGCATGTACGTCCATTTCCCCTCGTTTTGCCTCCTTTCGCCACAGAGGGACAGATCAGTCACCAGCCAGGCCTGCTGCAGCTGTAGAAGCTCCTGCACACCGGAGACAGAACTCGGAGCACGGGGGCCGTACTTCAGACATTCGTAGAGACCGTACAGGTATAATCAAGTGACCCCAAATGGGTTCTAGGTACACACATGCTGGTGCGTTGATGCAAGGAATTTGTTTCTTGGAGCTTCTGGTCCCCTGAATCAAGGCTTACTCGCCGCCATGCTCACCTTCTGATTCGGGTCGGAACCAGTCCTCCGGACTCCCTTGCCCTCGGGTACTTTTGACCATGGCTCGCTGGCAGTTGCTTCATCTGAGACAAAGTGGGTTGAATGCTGGGCTTTAAGAGGAGGTCTTGGCAGCCCTTTGTGCCCCATTTACGACAGCCCTAATCGATTAGTAGCTGCGGGTCAGCATTGAGATGCTAATCCAAGTACTTAAGCACTCAACAGTACAAGAACCCCCAAACAGGAATTCAGCTTGAGAA